ATAGAGAGTGCATTGATTACTTTGATGCATATTCTCCAATAAAAATAATAACATCCATTAGTACGATTCTTGTGATTGCAGCTTTGCAAAATCTTTAAGTACATTAAATGAATATTAAAACTACATTTTTAAATGAAGATTTAGATGAAAAAATTTACATTGAACAATCTAATGGTTTTTCATCAATAGAACAAGAAGAGAAAGTCTATAATTTGTTGAAGCCTTTATATGGCTTGAAATACGCACCCAAACATGGGCATGATAAACTTGATAATGTCATGATAAAATGTGAATTTAAAATCAGAGAGTGACAAATGTATTTACGTTAAAGACACTGAAAATGGTTATGCCATTTTATATCTTTATGTTGATGAAATGCTCATTGTTGGTAGCAACGATAAGATGATTAAATCTACTAAAAACATGTTAAATTTGAGATTTGACATGAAATATATAGGTTTAGCTGATTTGATACTTGGAGTTAAAATTGCAAAAAACATCAGATGGACTCATTCTAAGCTAGTCACATTGTGTGGACAAAATTTTAGAAAAGTTTAGCAATTATGATATTGAAATTACGAGAATACCCATAGATATAAGCTGGCATCTATCTAAAAACAAAGGCTAGAGGGTCTCTCAAACAGAATACTCTAGAATTATTGGAAGGTTGATATACTTGATGAGTTGAGAAGACCATACATAGCCTACACAGTGAGTAAATCAAGTAGATGCACGAATAATCTAGGAGTTAACCACTAGAAAAAAATAGTAAGGGTACTAAGGTACTTAAGATATACTCATATCTATGGACGACACTATACTAGATATCCCAAAGTTATTGAACGATATAGCATGCTAATTGGATATCTGATATAAAATACTTAAAGTCCATTAGTGGATTTGTGTTCACGTTGGGAGGTATAGCTATATCATGAAAATCCTCTAAACAAATAGTTACAACCATATCTACCACGAAATCCGAGTTTATGGCTCTTGATAAATATGGTGAAGAGGTTGAGTGGTTACATAACTTCTTGGAAGATATTCCGAGATGGTCTAAAAATGTGCCAGTAATTTGCATACACCGTGTAATAGCAAGTCTAGATATATACGTCGAAGATATAATACAATAAAGCAACTATTTTCAACTGAAATTATCTCTATTGAGTATGTAAGGTCAAAGGATAACATTGTGGACCGGCTAACCAAAATGTTAAATAGAGAGTTAGTTGGAAAGTTATTGAAATGAATGAGACTTAAGCCCTTCAATGAATGAGTTAATACAAAGAAAATCGAACCTAGTTGACTGAAGATCTCAAGATCTAGGTTCAAATGGACAACCTAATTGTAAAGATTTAATTGAATTATTGTGGGGGATATAATCTCATGTCCATTCTTATGATGTAACAGTGATGGCCCATAAGGATGAAGGATAAACAATAGGCTTTTAATAATTAATATGCATCGAAAATCGATCGAAATGATATGAGTTACTTTTAATAAGAAATCACCTATGTGAGAAAGAAGTATAGCCACTTCTAACGAAATTGTGTGGGGCTCAATTCTTAAAAACTCTCATAGAATGAATGAAATGTTCATGACAAAAATGAACGTAACTATGAGAACTGAGTTATGTTAGGAAGAAGCCTATGTGGAGTGTGTCATCATTTACACAAATGACAGAATATGTTAAGGACATCATGTCTACTAATCAGTTAATAAAGTAAACATACACAACGGAAGGTCCAAAGGATAATACCTACCTATTCTATGTAGGTTTCAACTGATGAATTTTATCACCACCTCTGTTTGTCATTATTGTTAATTTCATTCATGTGGGGGAATTGTTGGAAAATAATTTAACAATATATTCAAGTTGGATGAAATTGTAACAACAATTCATAGGTTCCAAATTTAGTTAATTCTGTAGTTAATTTGTATTTAAATTGGTTCAATTTCATAACAAATTTGTGCTTACAAATTTATTCATGGCTATTGTAACACTATTTGTGTTAAATACAAAATTAACTAAGAATTTGAAACCTCCATCATCCTAGTACTATCTAAGGATGTGTTCTCCTCATTATTCTTCACATCAAAAATTTTAGAGTTCTTTTTTTACTCTACGTTTCTCTCTTCTCTTCTCTTAGTTTCAAAAGTTTAGTTCTTAGTAATTTAGATAATTTAGTTCTTGGTTCTAGCTTGATGATAGAATTGTGAACATTCTTTATTCACTTAAAGTTGTGAAGAGGTGCTAGTTAGCTATTTTCAACCGTTATATCATGGGAGACAGCACCATCAATCCTCTTGCACCACAGTGGAGGGCGGATCTATGAAATTGCGTGCAATATAGGCCTTGATTCATTTCAACACCGCTACTAAGTCAACAATTATTTCCTCTAATTTTATTGTTATTCTATTTATTGTAATGTTTTCCATTATTTTATTTATACAATTCCACCAGTATTTCTAATTTCCTTTTTGCATTTTTCCTAACACTTTGTATTGTTCATGAATAACCAAAACTTTATATATTTGTTCATAAAGAAGCAAAGGTACTGTGTAAATTAATATTTTAGAGTTATTTTGTTGTTCCCGAATAATAACGTTATACACAAGTATTTTTGACAAACAAAAGTTGTGTTTTTCTAATGGTCAAATATTTTGTTTGAGTATTTTGGTATTGATAATTAATTCTTATACCTTATAATGTCTAAAAAGCATCTATTATTTATTTTTTGCCTACTCATATAACTGATTGGTATTGTTCTGCATATATGTACAATTCGAATGGGTGGACGTATTTGAAACATCTTGAATCAATAGTGAATATTTATTGAAAAAGATGGTATAAGAATGACCATATATGCCCATTTATTTCTAATCATGAATCAATATCTAGGTTTATCATTTCTGACGTTGATTAGTTAAGCATTATTAGAACTCTTGAAGACCTTTCAGATGCAGTTGATTACTTAAAGAAAGAAATCAAGATGCTGTAAGAATTAATGTCCCATATGACCGGAAAAAATAACTAACTTTATTTGAATTTTAAAAGTTGAGGTAGTTATTGGCTCATAAAAAATAGGCACGTTGGTTTTGTGAGATTTATGGGGAGTTATTTTCCTAATTAACCACCTTTATGGGGAGTGCTTACTGGAAGTTACTTTTGGAAAAAATCGTCCTCTCTCTACCCTACATATGTTGGCTACATACCCATAGATTTAGGCAATTAAAAAGTCATAAGAAAGAGGGGTCAAGTTGAGAGAAACGTTTTCTTTATTGCTTATTTATCTTGTTTTGCATATTTAAAATATTTCAATTATCTCCATGAATTAAGGTATGTTTCTTGGTCATTTATTCATATGTGAAAATTATGGAATTCTAAGATCTTGGCATTAAGGTTAATTTAATATTTTACATGTGGTATCAGAGCCAAGCTATAGGATTCTTAATTTTCCCTTAAAGATTAATGTTTTTGATTCATCGATCCTTAATTTTACGTATTGATTTATGAATCAATGTTTGAAATCAGAATAAAATAAGGTCTCCTATTTTAACCTGGATTAATTTAGCACTATTATAATTGCAATGATGGTTGCTGGTTTTGAGATAAATTGGTAAACGAACAGAGCTCGTTGGTTGATAATTTTGTTCTTTGCATGTTCATAAAAGAGCAGTAATTGTCGACGGTCATAATATTTCACCGTCCATAAATTAAACGGTAATTGATCTTGCCTTTGTAGAGAAATAAAAATTTTAAAAAAAATTATAAAAGGAGAAAAAGGTAATAAGTCGTAGAGTGTGTTGTATTGTGATTGGTCAAAGGAAAGTTTGATTTCTTGGTTTTCACAATTAGTCAATATTTCCTACCATCCACTGTGTATAATTTGGGAGTCTTTAATTTTCTATTGATATTGTGGGGGCATGCCCACTTGTTTAACGACAAGACTGGGGAATTGGAATATGTTAACACACCTGTAGACCATTTACTCTGCAAACCAATTTGATGTTTACTGTTTAACTCTATTATGAAAGTTTCTTTACTGTGATTAGTACAGAATATTATTTAGTGCTCACTGATTATTTATAGTATTATGTTTCATAAGTCCAGAATTATTGATTAAAGATGGTGACATATGAATGGTTAATTATAGTATTGGGCTTTGAATTATGGATTATATTAGATTATAGTTTAATTACCTATTTTTTATGCTTTNCATATGAATGGTTAATTATAGTATTGGGCTTTGAATTATGGATTATATTAGATTATAGTTTAATTACCTATTTTTTATGCTTTTTTTATGTAATTTATGTTTGATTAATGTTGTTTGTTAGTCACCAAAGTGGTCAAAATTATGGTATACGAACACTAAATTACATAATTTATTTGTCAATTACTCTTGATATTTTGATGCTTGTAATGGAAGATGACATTAAAATTATTGATGTTAAGAGTATCTATGAACTGTCCAAAAGTTGATCAGTTATTTTATTAATCTAGAACATGAAAGTGGTTAATTGATATGCTTAGTTAAATGTGTTTTGTCTATCCAAAGATAACAAACATATCTAATTGGAGTATATTTAATTACCAATTAAAGTAAAACTAAAGTAGCATCATTATGCTTATTGTGATTAGTATAACGCAGTATCTCCCAGAGGAGAATTGTGGTAAGAAATGAAGCTTAATTGCTAACGCAATAGTACTAGTGAAAGTTTTCTCTCAAAGCACCAATGTTATGAATGTATGTATTGCAGTGTCAGTTCCTGTTTCGCTTCATTCGCTAGCTTCATCTATTCCGATCTTTAATGGATCAAATTTTTCTGACTAGAAGGAACGGATCCAGTTTCATGTCGGTGTTCTGGATCCTGACTTAGCTTTGCAAGTTGACAAACCTCCTACTGCTATAGAAACTAGCAGTGCGGAGGAGCAAGCTTTGTTTAAGTCATGGGAAAGATCGAATATGTTAGGGATTATGTTTATGTGAATGTGTATGGGGAATAATATTAAATCGACGCTTCCTCAAAATGATAATGTAAAGGAATATCTTAAGGCTGTGGAAGATCGCTTTTGTTCAGCAGATAAGTCCCTTGAAGGGAGATTAATGGCTGAATTTATCACCATGAAATTTGATGGTAATCGTGGGATGCACGAACATGTCCTTGAAATGACTAATCTAGCTACTAGACTCAAAACTCTAGGAATGAATGTTGATGAAAGTTTCCTTGTTCAATATATTCTGAATTCATTGCCTGCTCAATATAGGCCATTTCAGATTCACTATAACACTATTAAGGAAAAGTGGAATGTGAATGAATTGTTGGGTATGCTTGTTCAAGAAGAGTCAAGGCTTAAGCAACAAGGTCAGCATTTTGTGAATGTTACGAGTCATAGAGCTGAAAATAAAGGAAAGAAATCGAAGAAGAGCTTCAAGAAGATCCATTAAAGATTGTTGGAACCTCTAATGCCAATGGGGTTCAAAAGAAGGAACGGAATGGACCAAAATGCTATTTTTGTCATAGCTCTGGGCATTTAAAGAAAGATTGTCTGAAAATTAGAGCTTGGTTCGAAAAGAAAGGTGAACTTCTAACTCATGTATGTTTCGAATCAAATATGACTCAAGTTCCTTCTAATACATGGTGGATTGACTCTGGTTCTACTACTCATATTTCAAATTCGATGTAGGGATGCCTTTCAATCTAGAACATAAAGGAAAATGAGCATTTCATAATATTGGGAAATGAAATGGAAGTACCAGTTGTTGGTGTTGGAAATTTTTGTTTGTTTTTAGAATCAGGCCATTATTTAGACCTATTTGATACTCTTTATGCACCTTCTCTTTCCAGAAATTTAGTTTCCTTGTCAAGACTTGATTTCAATGAATATTCGTTTAATTTTAATAATAGTAGTTTCCGTTTATTTAGAAATGAAACATTTGTTGGTTCTGGCATTTTATTTAAAGGGCTATATAAATTTAATCTTAATAAAACTTTTGCACAAACGCTTCTAACCTTGCATCGCAATGTTGGAATCAAATGTAGACGAGCTTATGAAAATTCTTCCATCTTATGGCATAAATGACTGGGGCATATATCCAGAGAAAGGATGGAGAGATTAGTAAAAGATGGGATTCTTTTCGATCTTGATTTGACTGATTTTGACGTATGTGTTGATTTCATTAAAGGAAAGCAAACCAAACATACAAAGAAATGAGCTACAATAAGTGAAGAACTTTTGGAGATTATCCATACTAATATTTGTGGACCTTTTGACTCATCGTCACTTGGTGGAGAAAAGTATTTTCTCACTTTCATTGATGATTTTCACGTTACATTTATGTCTATTTGTTGCATGAAAAGTCTCAAGCAATAAATGCTTTAAAGACATATATTGCTGAAGTTGAGAGAAAATTAGACAGAAAGGTGACAATCATTGAATCTGACAGAGGTGATGAGTATTATGGAAAGTATGATGGAGTGAGACAATGTCCAAGTCTTTCTGCTAAATTCCTAGAAGAGCATGGCATTTGTGCATAATACACAATGCCTAGTACGCCTCAGCAGAATGGTGTAGTTGAAAGGCGAAATCATACACTTATAAATATGGTTAGGAGTATGTTAAGTAACTCTTCGGTACCCATTTTGTTGTAGATGGAAGCCCCTAAGACCGTTGTTTATTTACTTAATCGGGTTCCTAGTAAGGCAGTTCAAAAGACCCCTTTTGAATTGTAGATAGGAACGAAGCCGAGCTTACGACACCTTCATATTTGGGGATGTCTAGCAGAGGCTAGGATCTATAGTTCACATGAAAAGAAATTGAATTCTAGAACTGTAAGCATGTACTTTATTGGTTATCCATAGAAGTCCAAAGGGTGTCGATTTTACTGTCCCAACCACAGTATGAAGATTGTAGAAGCCAAAAATGCCAGGTTCTTTGAGAATGGTAAAATTAGTGGGAGTGACACATTACGTGATGTGATCATTCAAGAAGTTCGGGTACCTGTCCTGATCCCCATAACTTCAAGGGAAATTGTTGTTTCTCCTGTTGTAGAACAGTATAACAATACCGAGCAACAATCTAGTGGGTCAGTCGCTCACTCCATAATGAGATTGTCACCAATGAACCAATTGCAGAACAACCAAAAGAAATAATATTAAGAAGATCTCAAAGAGAAAGGAGATCAGCTATTTCAGATGATTATTTAGTATATCTGCAAGAATCTGATTATGATTTAGGGACAAGTGAAGATCCAGTTTCATTTTCACAAGCTATTGAATGTGATGATTCTGAAAAGTAGATCAATGCTCTGAATGATGAGTTGAAATCAATGGAACAGAATGAAGTCTGTGACGTTGTTGATTTGCCTAAAGGTTCTAAGTTAGTCGGGTGTAAATGGGTCTTTAAGACCAAACGCGACTGTAATGGCAATATTGAACGACATAAAGCTAAACTTCTTGCAAAAGGTTTCACTCAAAAATGAGGTGTTGATTACAAAGATACATTATCTCCTTCATCGAAGAGGACTCTCTTAGAATCATAATGTCTCTAGTAGCTCATTTTGATTTAGAGTTACATCAGATTGATGTGAAAACTACTTTTTTAAACAGGAATTTAAATGAAGAGGTCTATATGGATCAACTTGAAGGTTTCTTGATTAAAGCAGAGGAGCATATGGTATACAAGTTAAAGAAATCGATATATGGACTTAAACAAACTTCCAGGCAATGGTATATTAAGTTTAATGATACCATCACGTCCTTTGAAGGTGTATATATTTGAGGGTCAATGGGAGTAAGTTTATTTTCCTGATTCTATGTGTTGATGATATATTGCTTGCTAGTAGTGATCTTGCTTTACTGCACGAAACCAAGAAATTTCTTTCTATGAATTTTGAAATCAAAGATATGGATGAGGCATCCTACGTGATAGGAATTGAGATATTCCATGATAGATCACGTAAAAGGTTAGGATTGTCTCAGAAAGGATATATCGATAAAGTTCTTGAAAGATTTAATATTGTTATTTGTGCTACCACTCCTACTTCTATTTGTAAAGGGGACAAGTTAAGTGAAAGGGATCGTCCAATGAATGCATTGGAAAGGAGAAGTATGGAAAATATTCCTTATGCGTCTGTTGTTGGAAGCTTGATGTATGCAGAGACTTGTACGAGACCAAACATCAGCTTTGTAGTTGGTATGCTAGGGAGATACCAAAGTAATCCCAGAATTGATTTTTGGAAAGCTGCGAAGAAAGTATTAAGGTATTTGAAGAGAACAAGACAGTACATGCTAATGTATCGAAGTTCTGATCAATTAGAAGTGATTGGTTACTCCAACTCAGATTTTGCTAGTTGTGATGACAGTCGAAAATCAACGTCTGGTTACTGTTCCTATTAGTTTGATGAGCAATATCATGGAAGAGCGCCAAACACACTGTCATAGTAGCATCCACCATGGAAGCTGAATTTGTGGCATGCTTTGAGGCCACAGTTCATGCATTATGGCTACGAAAATTTATCTCAAGACATGGAATTCTTGACAGTATTACTAGACCGCTAAGAGTGTATTGTGATAATTCCACAGCAGTCATTTTCTCGAAGAACGACAAATATATTAATGGGGCTAAGCACATACAGCTCAAATATTTGGCCGTTAAGGAGGAAGTTCAGAAACAAAGAGTGTCTATAGAATATATTAAGACCAAGCTCATGATTGCAAATCTTTTAACTAAAGGATTACCACCAAGGACATTTAAAGAGCATGTTGATCTTATGGGTCTTGGCTTTGATCCATGAGTTTTGTTTATGGATCTCAATCTTCATGTTTTGTTCTAAGACATTAATAGAGATCTCATTTACCGTGTTTCTGATATTTCTTGTTTTTCATGTATTACGTAATTATGGATATGGATTATTGATAACAAGAATCGTCTTTGACAAAGATATTATTGGGATATTATAGTTACTTCCCGTTATGGATTGTGATTAAGTGATTTACTAGCATCGTGTTACATGGAAGGGAAAATGTTGCTATAATGATGTTTACCGCCATGACCCATGTTAGCAAGTTATTTAATTACAATATTAACCTAATCTCACTAAAGGCGCAAATGAGCTGATGTTATGCGTTTATTATAGTTACCATATCAATTCAAATAAAGTGCCGTCGTCATATGGGCAAAGTGGGAGAATGTAAGAATTAATGTCCCACATAACCAGAAAAAATAACTAACTTTATTTGAATCTTAAATGTTGAGGTAGTTATTGACTCATAAAAGATAGGCACGTCGATTTTGTGAGATCTATGGGGGGTTATTTTCCTAATTAACCACCTTTATAGGGAGTGGTTACTGGAAGTTATTTTTGGACAAAACCATCTTCTCTCTACCCTACATATGTTGGCTACATACCCATAGATTTAGTCAATTGAAAAGTCACAAGAAAGAGGGGTCAAGTTGAGAGAAACGTTTTCTTCATTACTTGTTTATCTTGTTTTGCAGATTTAAAATATTTCAATTATCTCCATGGATCAAAGTATATTTCTTGATCATTTTATTCATATGTGAAAATTATGAAATTTTAAGATCTTGGCATTAAGGTTAATTTAATATCTTACAGATGCAAGGTTTCGGAAAATAAAATTTTGCTGGCTTCCTCACCCTACGCAATTCTTTTTCTGTTTCTACTCTGTAAAAATTTCTCTCCAAGTGAGGTTATACTGTAATATGATTTCTAGAATATTGTTGCTACAATAATTCTTTTTAGATTGCTAGTAGGATTTTGGAATTTTTGAGTAGTTTTGACCTGTGTGCTCATTTAAGGGGTGTGGAGGAGACTTCACTTGAGGAATAATGAGTGATTTGGGATCTTCGAGTGAGATTCGCTGTGTAATCTTCATCCTATGTAACGTTTGTTGTTGATTCCAGTGCAAATGAGCAAATATACAGTTTGGTGGAGCTTTAAACGCAGAAGTAACCAGTTCTGAGTATATCGTGTGCTCTTCTGTCTTCTTTAATTTTTCTGTGATTTTTTGTTTGTTGTAGATATATACACAGCGGAATTGACGTGATTCTCATTTATAATTTTAAGAACTTTACACAGCTTTATATAGGATCTGCACAATTCATATGCTAATCAAGCATAAATGATAAAACTTGGAATTTAGAAAATCATATAAACCATCAAGTTAAATAATAATGATCGAATCAGACCAAATGCAATCAAATCTGATTGGTTTAATCAAATCGAGTCAATCAAATTAAATCTAATCTAATTTTCTTCATGGAAGTGATTATTTATTGGTGAAAGATTTGGTAAAGCAAACTGTTGAGCACTTGAATAGAAGACATGCGCGTTCGATTTACTCTTGGTGAGATACATAACATGCAGAGGAAATGAAGCGTGAGTAAAACCAAATCATTGAGTATTTTTTATGTGAAAAATGCCAT